CACTGCTTTTTCGAGCATTTTTTAAACTTTGTAACCTCTGTGGGATTCTTAGCTCACTAAAACCTCTCCCCTTCTTCTTCAGCATACACTTTCCTTCGTTTACTGCCACTATCTATGTAGTCTCCGCTCGTGTACAGCCACCGCTCGTCTTCTGAACCTATCCTAATCCTTAACTTTGAATTGGTCAGTCGCTTTTGTCCAAATACGAAACAATAGTTGGATACGTGCCAGACGCGCTTCATGTATAGGCTTTTTATGAATAATAATTAACAAATTATTTATATTTTAGCTTATTTTTTTATGTATTACATAATTATTATATAAAAACACTTCGTTGTGAAAAATAAAGTTTGAATTCAATAGGTACAGGATGAAGAATATACTTCAATAGTAAATAAAAGAGTAGAATAAAATAATAGAATATAAATATAATATTATTTTTTTTATTATAACAATCACAACATATAATATGATTTTGACACATTGAGCTCAAAAGCTTTGCCATAACTGAAACACATATTTAATAAACTAAACCACTCGATCTATACTTTAAATATTTTGTAATCATCTTCGAGCTGCACCCAAGATCAACGTAGAACTCCATCACGGCAATACCTCCAATTTCTTGGACGTTTGGAATACAACCTTCTCTATATTGCACCAAAACTGTAGTTCTTTAAGTAAAATTTAAATGTTTCATCTAAAGATATTTTAATGGAATGAATAGTTAATTTTCATTTAATACATAATTTTATTCTATAAACCTAAGGTTGCCCTGACTTGTCCTCCTTTTCATACGTCCGGGAACGATGGATGGATTTTGAACCTATGTTCAGTTTTTTTTTACATTAAGTCGTTGTCTTAGTTTACCAATTTCCTAAATGACAACTTTAGTTTAACCAAACGACTTACCAAAATATATTTTTCTTTAAAATTGTAGTGATGCTTTGCTGCTCTGCTTCTTTGTATGTCTTGTAATTATAGTTGTTCCAAGGTAACTGGTTTCTTACGTCTAACTCTAAAATAAATAAGAAACTTATATAACTTTGAGTATTTTGGTCTTGTATTTTAGAATACTTACATGCAATTATATTTTAAAAGATCCATAAAAATCACTTTCCAGTTTTTTTTATATATATTTTTTCATTATACTGAATATTAGTAATCGTATTAATAGCTTCAAATATTAATAAGTTTGAGAAAAAGCTAGAAAAATTAAAAAAATAAAATAAAATGCATCTAAATTTGATTAGTTTACTGATACCTAAATTGTCCACAAATGAAAAACGAATTTAATGCAACTACAAAAAAAAATATGTCAATGTAGATATTATGAGAAAACGGTAAGAAAGATGATATCAGTTATAGACTGGATCAATGGATTCAAGAAGGCGTTCAGCAATAAAAGCAAAATATTTACACAAACTAGATCACGATGCAGAGTATCAATATAAATAAATCAATTAAAAATATTGTTAAAGAAATTGTAATTATGAAATATATATATTGTTATATGATATCACGGTTATTATAATAAAGGTATATTTCGTAGATTTTTTCTCTTGATGACATCAGTAATCCAATATAAATAATTTCTACGTTAATTACTTTTAGTTGTATACGTTTATTAGTATTTAGACTCATACATTTAAATACATAATACTATAATTATTTGAAAATATTTAACATGCTCATAAAAAAAATAATACAGTGGAACCTCGCATAACGAACAAAAATGTCCGCTTAACGAGCGACGTTTCGGATAACGAGTGACGATGAGAAGAGAAGTCCCGGTACACATATTATGTGTATTTTTGAATATGTTTCACTATACGAGTAAAAATTGTGAAACGGATTTAACTCGATAAGCGAGGTTCCACTGTATATGTAAAGAGTGTGTAATATAAAAACAAGCAGTAATTCAGAAAGTAGTTAGCTCATCAGTTGCAAACACTAATTATAATGTTTAAATAATTAATACATAATTATACTCAGTCATATAAATAAATAAAGAATTTATAAAAAAAGCAATTATCCATGTTTTTTATACCAATTTTTTTTTTCAATTATTTATGTATTTATAATATATGTGTAATATCTCGTTTTACATATGAATTATATTTATAATCAGAGCGTTTTTTAGTAATATGTTAAATTACTAATGTAGATTATTTTAAATCTAAACTTAATAGCATATTCAAGCGTCAGAAGCACTTTGTAGCAGATTATATATATTACGTAATTATTTTATGTCATTTATGTAATACTGTTGCAATAAACGTTATTATTAATCCTATATTAATGTTGATATACTGTAACTATATTCTAGAACAAGTTTCAAGCTTACTAATTCAATTGCAAATAGGTGCTACTAGTTGTGAAATACCTTAAATATATTTTGTTTTTATAAGTATATTATAATAGTAAATTTCAATATAGTGTTGACTTATGTAACGTTCGATGAAAGCAAATTAAGCCTTATTCTTAGCTTCATCTACTATGCACTGTGCAAACTGAAAAAGTTACTAAAAACATTGCACGTGTATCATATTTATATAAATAATTCGCAAAAAAAAAGAGTCGTTAGTTAAAGGCAACTTTTTCAGATTAAAATAAAACTATGGGACATGCTACTGATTTCAATGCAGATAATGCATTTGCTATATGCTAAACTATACTATTTAGTTTACTTAATCCATATTGGTTTATCCATTTTTTTTTGTAGGAAATCCACTTCAATGCTGTTATCCTTACTGGGAATTAGAAGTCTGTTGATGATCTGTATCAGTAGAAGTCCTTTGGAAATCCATAGTTGCTGCGAACCAATTCTATTTAGGGAGGAAAAATGTTGAGATTAGTTTATAATTCAATTACGATTAGGGAGAAAGGTAATGTGAATGCATGATCGAAGTTCCTACTGTTCAACCAATCAAGATCTTCTATATTTAGGGCTTTATTGCGCGGGTGTGAGAAGGGTGTCAGCGAAGGGCGAAATCGATGGTAGCTTACTTCGTGTAGGTTCATAGTCGAGGAGTTCATAGTGAGATCCAGTTAGGGTTGCCAGAATTTTACTTTGCACTTACTACAAAATTAACGTATTTAGTGATCGAAATTTTACAATTTTTACAAATATATGTAATTTATTTGAAAATTCAGCAATATTGTTTCATTATATTTATTATTATTTAAATGATCTGAAATTTAAATCTTGACTCGGGATTTTTTTTATGAAATGTTCTAGAGATACGGGATAATTTGGCAACCCAAGATATTTAATTTTTAATAGTGAAATGTTTAGTTTTCTTGTTTGAATTTGTGTATTAGTGTTGCATGTTTATTAGGTGGGTGTAATTGAATTACCCAAGTGTTTATTGATTGACTAGTATGAATCATCATTATCAACGAGGAAGAAAATCGAAAACCACACTGAATATTTTACAACGATTTCATTGTGATTTTAGATGTTGTATAAATAGAGACACTAAATTTGTAGAAGGTAGTGATAATAAACGTTGGGTGCTTAAAAAGTGGATGTGCTAAAGATATTTCAAATCACAAGTTATATTATTATTATTTTAAATAATAATTAACCTATATATAAAATAACTAGTTGGTGAATATGAAATATTAAAAAAATGGGGTACATTACCTTTAAAATTTCTCTCCAGCTAATGGTAGTCCTTTGCCAATAATCGAATATAGGACAATTGATACCTATTGTTGTACCTATGCTTAATAGTTCTTAATAATTCATTCATCCTTTTATGCAATTGTAATATTTCTACGAGATTTTTTTTTATCCTTGAAATATTTTAAATAGACACAAATATTAATAACTAAATTTGATATAATATGGAAATTGTTGGTTGTTGACCTTCATAATTACTATTATTGCCGCGATGTCACTTGCAATAAAATAATTAATTAAAACTATTGCATTTATATATAAATGTTGCTATTCCTAAAATCTATAATAACGTTATTTAGTAGAACAATTTATTTTTATGGAATTATATCAAATGGTTATGGAATAATTAAGATGATAAATTCGAAAGAATAAGTTTTTTTTTAGTAAGCGTTTTTGTTGATCCAATTGTTAATCATACGTCTGTATGATGTACACTTGTCGGAATACGGCTCATGATCGCATTTGTGTTTGTTTTCTTCACATAGACAGCATTTCGGGGCTTTAGCATTGCAGTCCCTATAGGAATGGGGACCTGAGCAGTAGCTGCAAGCCCTTGATCCTGTACAAAACTTAGAAATATGACCAACATGCTGGCATTTGTAGCACCTCAGTATACCGTTATAATCTTTAACGGTGAACCGGCACCACCCAATTGTGACCTGAGAGCCAGCAACCAAAGATCTAAACCTTCGATTCACCTCAAGTACAACATTTTTCGCTAATCTTGATCTTACTTTATAAGTTTTGAAATGATGGATTTTAACTTCCATCTTGATCCTTTCCACATCTGGATACTTCGCCTTAATGAAAGAGTTTTGCTCCACAAGAGATCGAAATAATTTTTCGCTACCGACAGACAAATCTAAACCGGTAATTATAAGATAAGGATTGAGCTTTCTTTGTTCCGTTACTTGAGTATTAGTTAACTGAGTGTTAACAGCTCTTTTAATAGGAACTGCATCTTTATCTGAAGCACAAACAAATTTCAACGTTACCATCCCCGATTTGCAAGAGATTATTTACAGCAAGATTATTTTTAACTATTCAGGATTTTAAATTGTCCTTACCAATAGTTTGGCAATTTGTATCCTTGGCTTCGTCAACAGGAGTTTTAAATTTGCTGATTCCTTTCTTCAAGCATTCTGCATAAGTCATCGTCCTCGGAGGAGGTACTGGAATTATTTCTGGCTTTTCCTCACAAATTTCTGTAGGTATTTGCTCTTTAGGGCACATTATTGTACCGTACATCTGTTGCGAAATACTGTGCCACTCATCAACTTTCAATCTAACATCTTTCAGTCGCCTCAGATTTATCAGTATCGATTTGGGATCAAGAGAATTCATAATTGATTTCTTAATACCGTTTATCTCGTTGTGGTAACTTTCTTCGAGTTTCTTGATCAGTTTCTGCTCTATAGAAGACCAGCTGCTGCTCAATGATTGGGATGTACTGTTCACTTCAGGATGAACTGAAGCTCGGTTGCTAGCCATATTATGCGTGAGTTCTTCTTAGAAATTCAACAGCAACTGCTGCGAAACAGTAACGTGCTGCAGTCGTTGGTATTGTCGAGACACTTAAATGTAATAATACTAACAGCACCAACAGATCAAATGATTATCGTTTTAACGATTGTTCACTCGAAATCAAATAATGGGCTGCACCACTAACAATAAACGGCAGCCATAATACTTGCAATCTGTCAGCAATGAACATCTCAACGAGTGTATTTAACAACCCTGAAAATCCAAAATCACAACCCCCCGATTTGAAATTTTCTATTTATACTAAAACCATCATCAAATTATAAATGAAACTGTATCCTCACATATTATAAATAAAAAATATCCCTTTTTTTTACACTATACTACATAAATCCTTCAAAGGACATTTGGCACAAAGGATAAAATAATCTATTGATCTTAGAAATACTAAAAACAAATGGCAATTTAAATTATTGATTATTAGGGACAATTTTTAATTATAAATAATAACTAAATAAATATAATCAAAATACTATATAAAAAAAATATAAAATTAAACAAATTAAGAAAATAATAAATTCATTATTTTTATTTGTTTATATAATAAATAATCAAATGATTTGGCTTCTAATTAATTATTTAAAGAAAAAAAAATTAAAATATTTTAAAGTTTTAGATTTTTTATGTATCTTTCGTTTATTTTATAACAAAATTTAAATTAATATGAAAAGTGACTATAAAAAGATTGTCTTAACGAAATGAAAGGGTTTGGTTTAAATTGAAATTGAAATAAATTTGATTTAAATATACATTATAATAAGTCAGGTGTGCATCTGGCTATTGACCCAACGTTATTTTAGGGGATGTGATTGGTGCATGTTTATATCAATAACCATAGATATTCGGGTGCAATCGTTTCAAAACGACTTCTTTGACCCGATCTGCCCGTTTCATCGACACAAATCCACCCACCTGTATATTGATTTTCGCCAGTACCAAACTTCCCCTGTCAACAAATATTTACAACGCATTTCCAAAGCAAATTATTCTCCGAAAATATTTATTAAATAATTTCCAAATAAATAAGTAAAACAATTTTATCCAGCGAGTTTTAATGAAATAAATATATACAGTATAAAATTAATCTATTTCATAAAATAATTTATCTATTTTGTACATTTATTGTATTTCTCGCATCGTCTGGTAAATGCTTAACGTTGTCAATAAATATGGAGGTTAATTGCCTTAGCAAGATATACCAATCTTATATAACTGTCTTGGCGAATTTATCTTTTATTTATGTATGGTTGACGATGATCTCGTCTTTACAACATTGAAACATGGATACAATGGTATTAATTACTTGAACAAAAACAGTCCAAATATGCAATTCGTTCTTGATTCTTTCTTCCTTCCAGGATCTATTGCCTTTGTACGCAATTGACTCTAAGCTTTCCTTTTTTGTAGTGTCCTTTAATACAACATATCGTAAATGTTCGACTGGCATTGTATCAAAAGAAACTGGACAAGATTGCCTCCAATTTCTTAGCTAATTCAAATATTGGCATGCTAATCAGAATCCTAGATATATTGTTAAAAAAATCTTAGGTTCTTGGCGAAACAGCGTAGCAGACAAGGCGCAATAGGACTGATAGATAAACTGCTTTGCCACAGCGAGGGCGCTGTCATTGAATCTTAGTTGGAGGCCGATAATTCATAAAGCATCAGTACCAACTACTACAGGAAAATGAATTTTTAAAATCATAATTTCAAATCATTATATCTCTATAGCGAATTATTACTTGAATCTTTGCAACAGACGGAAGTAACTCTAAGTAGATGTCTATAACATCATCGTTCCTCCGAATTGGAGCTATTTCTTACAAATTTTATTTTTATTTTAACTAGACATCGACATCTATGGTCATTAGCCTAGAAGAATTAAATATTAATCTTCTAATTAGGATTATCAATAAAGACAAAATAAAAAAATATTTAGACTTATGTAAATCGAAAATAATAATAATAATGAATTATCAGAAAATATTATGTTAATTATACTGCATTAATATAATGATTAATATATCAACGTCATTAGTGTAATTTAAAATAAAATTATTATAGATGGATGATTCCTAGAATATCGTTAAAATGTTCAGTGAATTCGGACTAATCAAAACCGAACTTGTGTAATTTGGTACAAGTTTCAGGTAATCTAAAGTATAGTTAGCACGGTTTCGCTGTAATATGATATATAGATAGATATATTGCGGAATTCCTCGTATAACATGGTTAGTTACAATATAATTTCTCTCTAACACGATCATTTAATTGTGTTTCTATTTTCCGTGCTATAGGAATTTCGAGAAATGGACAAAAAAAAATGAAATACTGTAAATTATTAGTATTGAGTCTAATATAACACGGTTTTATCCAACACGACATTTTCTAATTTAATTGTCTTCCTATTTTCCGTGCTATAGGAATTTCGAGAAATGAACAAAAAAAATGAAATACTGTAAATTATTAGTATTGAGTCTCATATAACACGGTTTTATGCAACACGACATTTTCTAATCTAATTGTGTTCCTATTTACCGTGCTATAGGAATTTCGAAAAATGGACAAAAGAAAATGAAATACTGTAAATTATTAGTATTGAGTCTCATATAATACGGTTTTATGCAACACGACATTTTCTAATCTAATTGTGTTCATATTTTCCGTGCTATAGGAATTTCGAGAAATGGACAAAAAAAATGAAATACTGTAAATTATTAGTATTGTTATCAAATGTTTTGACTTGTATTGTTATAATTGATTAAATGAAATGAGCGTTGATTGTTACATAATAAATTGGACATGACCTATTCAAATGTGACGCCTAATCAATATAACGATTTCGCATTATATTGTGTCGATGCGTGATTATTTCCAGAACGAAATATATCCGTTCAATAAGTTTAGAATTATTGTTAAAAATATGAATTGCTAATATAAATTATATGATTCAATAATATCATCTTCTATTATATTTATAATATAATTATATTTATAATAGAAGATGATATAAAAAGCAGCTAAAAATGTGTTTAAATAATAATATAAAAAATATTATTTCAAAATGATAATAAAATCTAATTAAAAATTACAAAATATTCTGGAAAAAAATATTTATTAAATTCAATGATTTACAAATAATGTATAAACATTCAAAAGTTCCAAAATGCTACGCAAATAGATAATTTATAACTTACATATTTAATATAGAGATGTTCAATATTTTTTTACCCAACATATAATGATTCCTTATAACTTTACTACTGCTGGGCGTTTTTAACATATTGACGCATGTAATGTTATGTCACGCTGTTAGGGTTGCGACAACTGTCACTAGACTACACTTACAGAGTTACGAAGCCTGATGTCATTTAGCCAATATTGAATCTTACATGAGATGTTTTGTCCATGTCTTTATTTTCATTTAGATTGTATATTTACCAGTTTAAAGCTAGATTTGAGGTAAAGATTGATTTAGTCGAAAAATATCAATACTATGGTATATATCCTTGGATGGTGTAATAATGGTTATGGTTCTAGTGGTTAAATTCAATCTACCTGAAATTTTTTACAAACATGAGCGTCCGTATATTCAGTAAATTCCATCAATTATGTTCTATCCTTTATTTAAAATCTTGAAGAAATTTTTATTTATAAAAAATGATTCAATTTATTATTTCATTTTAAAATTAGACAATTTTATAATTCTACTGTTAATTGCATACAATTTAGAACAACCAAATGAATTAGTATAGGCCCCTCTTTATCTCCCTCTTTGGACGACCATGACATTCTGTTATATGCTTTAGGCTATTATGGCTATTAAATGATTACTGCTAATAAATATGATTTATTAAATATTGTATTTCTTTTAATTCGTAGTTACTTCCGGTTCACAAAATTAAGTTGGCGCACAAGCGCGTGAAAGTTTTCAATAGTTCAATAATATTACGTGAAAAAATAAAATTAACATGTTCAAAACTTATACTTATACATTTATATTTTATTATTCCGACATTTAACATTACTCATTTATTTTATATGAGTAAAGTTAAACAAAGTCTAGTAGATTGGTTCCTGAAAAAGCCGTGTAAAAAAAATGATTATGGTAAAAGTACATAATCAGTAAATGTATACATTTCCAGATACATATCCAAATTTACCGGCTTGAACGGAACAAAAACAGGAACGGATGAAAAGTTTCAAACTGCGATTTTTAAGAAAATCCTTTTCACTTTTTTTCAAACATTCTGAAACTCATAGCACTCGTCAACAGCACGAAGATGCCAATAGGCTCGTTGGAAAGGTGAGACTTTCAGCTCAGGGTTGTCGAGAAATTCACGAAAGACAGACAAAAAATTTCGAAAAACGTTGTTTCTCTGTTACGTAATGAATATTACGTAACTTTTGCAACGAAAATTTATGTAATTTTCGAGTTATTTTGGGAAAACAGGAACAAATGAAAAGATTCAAACTTACATTTACCCACCATTTCCGGGAAATGTATTACCCAATGACGTCGGTAAAAGTTCATATAGGTAAATGAAACATATAAGTTATGTCATGCCAAAAAAAAAACTAATCACAGAATTATTTTATTTATTTCTTTACAATTTTACAGATTTTTAACCCAACCCAACCTTGATATACAACATCTGTTTCTCGTATTTGTTATTTTCAATTTTTACCGATGTATGTAGGTAGATGTAAACATTTACCGGTAAAAATAGGTATATGACGCTGCTGTCAGATTTATACTTACATTTACCTAAAAACATCGTGAAATGTTTACATTTACCAATTGAGTACTTTTACCGTAACATAAATAAATAATCAGAAAAAAGGTTTTTGACATATGGTATTATTATATAAATTCACGTACCTTTTTCAACTAGAAGATCATATTTTTCGATTCATTGCTTTAACTCATTCATTCTTTTCATAATGATCTATAAATTTTCTTACAGCATGTCAGAAGAGGCACAACTTCTATTATTTCATCATCCTCAAGAGGTTTGTCAAGCAGCAGTATCATCCGCAGATGAAATTTCAACTTTAATTAGAGGAATATCCCATTTGCCAACAATCTTGTAAAAATAATCCGTAAAAACAGATTTGAATGTATAATTATAATAAATAATTTAAAACAAAGACCAAGAAATAACCCATAGGATTTATATATTGTGGTTTGTTGTATTTTGTCCAATAATCTATTATTATAAATAATTTAAATATGTTGCATAATAAATTTTCTTTATTATTTATTTAAATATCGCACCTATATTGGGAAAATTGGCTATTTATAGATGAAAACTATTAACTTTCAAATAGTATAAATTCTTCTAGCCAGGAATAAATAAAAGGTTCTGTTAACGTTTCCAATTATTTCAATTCTAGTAATTTTGGAGATTACTATGATCCAGTACTAAACAAAATTAAATGTATTATTAAAATACAAGAAATAAGGAGTTTTAAAGCATAATAAAAGGATATTTTTATCTTAAAAAGAAAACGAAAGATATTTATTTTATTTTAGAAATATGCATGTAAATTAAATGCAGACGTCAGCTGACAACTCATGTTTACATAACTGACATATTTATATTAAATTTAATATTGTTAAATATGTTTTATCTTGTAAACGTAAATTATTTATGACATGTATTTATTGGATTGATATTATTGTCTTCATGAAATTATTTTGTCTATAATTTTCTACAGCTATGATCAGATGACTTTTGTTCAATCTTATTCTTTGATTCTTGATGATATAAGGAATCCAATACGATTGTTGTTGTAGGCAACCAAACGATCGACGAAAAATAAGAAAACCTTTAACTTTTCATAAAAATTTATTTAACAGCAATATTCGATTAAATGCAAAATCCATAAAATTAAGCTCATTGGTAGTGTTTAAGTTTTGAATGTGTTTTTTTTAAGCACACGCGTAGATATTAAAGTATGCCAGAACCGCGATATTTTGAGCAACTAACCACTGGTAAGATAATCCATTATCAGTGACAAAGCTAAAGATTAATAATAGTTTGCTTATATCTCTACACCTAAAAAAATCGAGATGGCCGTGGATTATTACATAAGGTGCGAAATGTGTGTTTTGTGTATAGCTCGCATTATAGCATTCATAAACGTGTTCATTCTTTAAAACCATCATTAAAATCAACTGCAACTCTAATGAAATGATAATCCAAACGTAACTGTAAATATCGCTAATAAGATTGTCTCCGTTCGAAAGAAAACATAATAAAATTATGAAGCCTTCTAAAAACTCAGCAAGATCAACAACGTTTTAAAATGTATATATCACATAGCTTTAGAATATGATTTTAAGATCAGATCGATGTTGTTTACAATAGAATTTCTGTCCTGATCTGAATAGAGAAGGTGCACTTGTGTCGTTGGTTACTTTGTTTCAACATTATTAATTTTTTTTTTGCTTGTTCGTTTGTATATAGCCTATCTGTGCCTAACAAAGTGATATGTTGGTATTATAACTAGGTCCTTAGACGATAACGCTACGCCTATTTGTTTTGTTATCTGGTACGTATTGTTCTAAATCTTCAGGTTGTGCGTTCAAGGCCGAATAGTCGACTGGAAATAGAGCTGAGGATAAAGGCAATGGAGTTGCTCCTAAGATGTAGTGTCCAGGTCCGTTAGGGTATCTACCCAACAGATAATTGGAAAAGCATAGTCGAAATGCTTTAAAACCTAGTAAATGGTCGCCGTTCTGAAAATTTGTTTGTTGCAACTACCATTAGAGAATTACGAAATCGTTAGAACACTTACGGAAGTCATCGCATAGTACGCAAGGTTCAAGATCTCATCTACTTTACTGGATTCAAGGCCCAGTACTGATGAATAGAATGCATTCAATTCTTCTTTAGTAATGATGCCACTATCTACAAGCACATACATTTTAAACAACATTTTTTTCCCGTCGTATTTACAACAACACTCACTGGTTCTATTGATGACTTGAAATAATACTTTTACAAAGTACTGCAGCCATATTGGAAAGTCGTTTAAACTTTTACTACCAGTCACTAGTTGCGCCCATTTGTACAACCAACCATCTAGAGTTAAATAAGTTTGGCCATTCACCTGAAAACCTGATACTCAAATTAGTAATTCTACTAACTAAATATAGATGAAAGGATCTACATTTGTAATTTATAAGTCACATTGAATATGAAGAACTGAGCTTGGATTGTAAAACAATATGCTTAACTTAAATGAAGTTTCTAAGCTATTGCTCAATTTTTTTCAATAACATTTCAATATAACAGGTTTCCTTTGTAAATTTATTTTATGTATTTAAAACAATTGACATTTACGTGGAACAAGAAACCTAAAGAATTTATGCTTTTTTAATTTAAAATCATAATAAATATTATAACTTATATAATAAAGTACTTGATTAAGTACAATATGAAACGTATAAAACTAGATCTAAGATCATTACCTAATTTTTCATCGTGTATTTCTTGTAAAAATGTATCCATAAAACCTCTTTCAACTTCCCTTAGTATATTGTATTCAGGTGAGTTAGTGGACCAGTCAGCAAAATGTCTCAACCGCTTAACATAAGAAGAAAAAAAAAACAACATTATCTCTGATCTACAATATCAACTAATGCATTTACCTCTATTAAGGCCCCAAAGTCTTGATCACATATAAGTTCATCTTGATCATGATCAAGGAGAGTTGTAAAGAAATGAGTAAATTTGTTGGTTTGGATTGGTGTCAGCTCAAATAATTGACTCTCATTTTCCCATGCTTCCATTGTATCAACACTAAACCTGTCCACCCATGTAGCTAAATAAAGTACCATTAAATTAGTTGGATTGAACTTGAGTAACAACAAAAGATAAAACATGCAATAAGATGTATGTATTATTTTTTTTTCTAGATTTAAAATAAAAATTACCTTTGGTCTATTTAAGAGGGGGAGTTTTAAAATGTGTGAATTAGGAGTGCTTTTGATAAGATCTCTGAGATTAAGAGAGAGATAGAAATAACTAAAAAATAAATTGAGACAGTGCATTTATTTCATGCTAGTTGAGTGATTTTTAGTAATAGGCTTACTCCAAACGTGTACACTCCAGCCACAGCTCTCATTCTGTGAGTCAGTTTTATCAAGTTTTGGTCCAATCTTTTTGTCAGCTACCACTTCATACTCAGGTAAGGTCCTCCACCTCTTCAACAGATCTCTGGTACGATCCCTTGTCCGATCACAGGCATGTCTCCAATTTGCAATGATCTTGTTGGGTACCTTTATTGATGGATCTGTACCTGTTCTATATTCAAGCTCCATTTTCTTTTCATCAGCCTTAATCTTCACTGAGCCTTTTTGGAAATGTACATCTTTCTCGCCCTTCTGGCTAGCACTGGAACTGTTCTTATCCACACTCTTCGTACTCTTAATACTACTGCGAGATGCAGTGAGGTCCTTGTGACTGCTCTCTCTACTACTTAGTCTAGATACGTTCTCTACGGACTCGTTATCCATTGTACTTTTAGACTTTCAATGGAATAATAACGAATGTTTACTAACTACTCGACTCATGCAGGATTACTGTAAATGCCATTTGTACTGTCTCAATCTACTACCTCTTTAAAAAAAATATACCGAATTGATTCTGTCAAAAACAAGAAAATCAATTCCAACTCTTATTCCTACATCAAGAACTTCACTGTCAAAAAATTTAAACGGTATAAAGGGCGATCAACGTACAAAAAAAAATCAAGCGTATGCCTACTCACATTTCATCAGAGCTAATTATCAAATGATGATTAAGATTATCAATCGACCCGACTTCTGTCTCTCTACTTGCCAATCGTTTAGCGCCTTCCGAGTTTTATAATAAATGCGACCTCTGTTTTTTTACTTTAGTTTCTATTCCCTTCTTCTTCTTTCCTCTTGTTTCTTCTCTCTCCTCACACGTCGAACTGCAATTGTGCAAATGTCAAGTGTCAGATAGAGAGTAAATCGAAAATAACATAAATATTTTTGCATCCATTTCTATATTTATACATTAATCAATTTCGCAAGAACCAACTGAAACAAATAATATATACCACTATATATATATAAATATATATATATTTCTGTTGCTAGGATCACAATACTTATATACAATTTATTTTTCATCTCACAATTGATTGATTGATTGATTTGTTTTCACCACCATTTAACTATTATCTCCTGATTTGTCCATTATCAACGAAATTCTTTTCGCCAGATTAGGATACCGATCGAACGAGCGGTTGCGCGATTACGTAAGCGTTGCGCAACGGCTCAGGGAATCTCTAATGAGAAGCGATCTTCAAAAACAAAGCCCGTTGCATAATGCTGTTGCTGCATTAAGAGGTCAGGAAGGTTCACGGTGTACGCAAATTATCTTTTGAACAAATATGATTTACAAATGTTATTGTATGATGATGCTCTGATTTTGACCCTCTATACACTGCTAATCTGCAGATTAGCGCTGATCAATAACTTTTTACCAATTTCAATCATATTTGCATAATTCTAATTTTTTCTTGCATTATCTGTATGGCTATGTAATTGAGTGAGTGAGGAAACATTTTTAGTATTTATATCCCAGGTCAAGATCATCCCTATTTTTATATTGTTTAACTACTACTTTATACGTTTAAGTAAGCTTCAAACCAAGGGTTTTTTTTTAGTCTATACTCCTTATTCTTTTCCTCCCTCCAGAATACATTTAGTCTATACTGAAATTGGAATTTTTAAAAGAATAAGGTAATTGAAGAAAATAATGTTATTATTTAAGATTTTTTTTTTAAATTTTCTTTGTGGTCCAACTAAAGCAACTTCATTATTATTATCGTATTAGTATATCTAATTGTCATCCTTGCTTATCATCTTCGTTCTCAATGGAATATAGTATTGTGTAAGTTAATGAAATGATTGCTAATAATAGCTTATAGTAGTTAGTTGTTTTGAAATTAAAACATGACGCAATATTGATTTCTCTGTTAATTTTCCAAATATAATTACTTGTGCCATAGTTGCAACATTCGGGAATAAACAAACATATTGAAATTTCAATTCACATCCATTTAACCGGTTTTGCTATCTAGAAATTCATAAATTATAAATGTTGTTGTAGTTACTTTTACAGCAACACTCACTAGTTTTTTCGATGAACAAAGAAAAAATCTTTTACATAAACTTATATGACAAAACATCTAGAATAAAATACATTTGTTTCATATGAAAAATTTGGTCATATATCTATTATGATTAAGGCTAATGACTATAACAGTTGATGGCTCAAAAAAATATGTTTCCTATTCTTGAAACTTGCTTTTAATGTAAGAAATAACACAGCATCAAGCACATGACGATGTCCGAGAATTTTAATAACAATTATTAATAATAGTAACTGTAAATGTTTGTTTTTTCTCCTAACTGGCCATTGACTACGAAGAGCTTCATCCGTGAGTATTGGTTTAGTGTTTGTCTTGTTTAGTGGCATTCATTTATTTTCACACAGGTATTATTACTTAACAAATTCATATTTATTTAAACAAACCACAAACTTAATTCGTGTTCTCATAATGTATTTATTTGCTATAACTAATCTAAAAGGGAACAATATTTTTACTGATAATAACACATTTTTATATTGAGTTATATTAATAACGGTATTTTTTTATATTTTCCAAGGTCAATATGCCATCAACCTTCAGCTAGATCTATTAATACATAAGATGATACTTGTAAATTTATAAATGTAAGAGTAACATTTTTTTTTTTGATTTAAGGATTAGTCGAACAATAAATTACATCTGTACTTTGCACAGACTAAATCAGGAAATGGTTAACCATTGTTATCATATATTATCGAATGATAACAGAGATATATCATAAAAAGAACCACAAGCATATTTTATTATAGCCAGGGCCATGTGGTGCTATGATACAACATTTTGGAAGTCACATTTTATTGATTTTCTCGGAAAGTATAATAGATTGAATTGATCCAAAAGATGCATATGAAAGCTGGATGTTTGGGGAATGTAGCGAGTATGTATGGATGCATTTGGCTATAATTCGCATGAAAAATTAACATTCGAAAAGCATATATGAATTTATCCAAAGGATGCATATTAAAGCTAGATGTTTGGGGAATTTAACAAGTATTTATACATTGCTGTGGTTTAATCCAATTGGCTGTAATTCGCTATTACAACTAGAAATATTTTAAATCTCTTCCGGCCCTATTTCTACCCCTTTCGGGTTTAACAGCCACCACAATTTTTTGTTGGTTTTTGGGAATTGAACCAACGACTTTTCGTATCAGATTTTCATGATACAGACGACCTTAGCCACACGAACTAGAAATAATACCAATAAATATCATTGTTATAATATTTTGTAGATAAATACACCTAGAGACATCTGTTTTTTAGCAAATTTTCAATAAATTTTCGAAAGTTTTCCATTGGTATCACTGACATTTTCAAAACAAGCTCCGTCTCTTTTTTCGCTTCGTTTAAATTTTCTACATAACCTCGTTGTATAAGCGCCGGATCTTCTTCATCAAAACAATAATATATAGTGATTTATATTGTCCTTGAATAACCAGCTATTTAATTAATAGACCAAATAGTAAGAATCATCTCTGGCTTGTAGCTCGTTGCTGAGTTCAAGGCTTTTGTACTTTTGAGAAAACAAACATAAACAGTTCAGTTGTGCTTATTCTCTAACTAGTGTTTATTTTCTAGGGAAAACATTGACAACGACCCGGTATGACGTGTTAATAGATATAACATAGTATAATACAAAGTGTCTGTGATAAGACACATATATAAAATTTTATATATATACATAAGTAGGGAAGATGAATTCTAAAGCAGTATTTGCTATTTTAATGGTCTACATTGGCTGTGGGCTAAACAATGTATTTCTAGAGTACCTAGTCAGGTAATATTTCTAATTCTAATTGGAATTCTTCAAAAATTAAATTAATATTGTTTATGCAGATCGGATCCAGGATGTGGACACTTGATCACATTTCTGCAGTTCCTCTTTATTGCAATTCATGGATTTATTATGACATCCAAGTTTGGAACAGTTCAGCCTAAGATTGGTATGACAGCCTACTTCAAACTAGTCGTATTCTTTTTTATTACTAGTGTATTTAATAACTGGGCATTTAGCTTCAACATCCCTGTACCACTGCACATGATATTCAGAGCGGTAAGATTTAGTTAATATTAATTAATCAATATCTATAATAAATATTAAATAAATCTGCAGGGATCTCTAATTGCCAATATGATTATGGGCATCATCATACTGAAGAAGAAGTATGCTGCCTCTAAATTTATCTCAGTTGCAATGATTACTGCTGGCATTATTATTTGCACATTCATTTCAAGCAACACACCTACTGTAAGTTATAATTATATTTATATTAGGAGATTGATTGAGAATAACAATTATCTTTTTAGGTTTGCAACAATTGTGATGAGACAGCTAAAATTCAATCAACAGAAGATTCTAATGATTTTTTCTGGTGGATTGTGGGCATTGTCATCTTAACTTTAGCACTATTACTCTCAGCAAGGATGGGAATATTCCAGGAATCACTGTACAAAGAACATGGCAAGCATCCAAGTGAAGCTCTTTATTATACTGTAATACATATAAATGCGATTGTTAGTTGTTCACATTTAATAATGAATTTGCTTTCTTTCAGCATCTTCTGTCACTTCCGTTGTTCGTGTTTTACGCTCCCAGTATTTACGAGCACTTTGGTGTAATGATTGGCAGCGAACCATACCAGGTACCCATGCTAGGCATCACTATTCCTCTGCTAGTCGTCTATATGGTCGGTAATGTGTTGACTCAATATTTATGTATTAGCTCCGTATATGTATTAACTACCGAATGCACCTCTTTAACTGTGACTCTGGTAGTGACTTTGAGAAAATTCTTGTCATTGATTTTTTCCATAGTCTATTTCAACAATCCCTTCACTGTTGGCCATTGGTTCGGCACAGCTCTCGTATTTGTAGGCACTTTAATATTCACAGAGGTGTTCCAGAAAGCCTCACAGTCGATTGCCAAGAAGCAAAAGACAAACTAAACCAAATCGCTTTATTTATTGTCTTTAAAATAAATTAGTCACATAAAACGGAACGAAAAGAAAAACCAAAAAAAAATACAAAATAAAGACATATATATATATATTATATCACAGTATAAAGAAACGAAATACCAAAAGAAACATGTTTTTTTAAATATCAACGACTAGTATTCAAAAATAATACAAAAAAATATTTTATAGTGTATTACCTAGCATTGGTGGGTAAACTTTTAAATTGTATAATTATTGAAATTGTCTGTCAGCTTGTTAGTCGTGTGTTAAGGTTTAATGTATTGGAAAAAGTATAATAGTTATGCCGCTGAAAATGAGAACGTATTAAAAAGGCATAGAGCCTGTCTCAAGTGAATACGTCTTTGATATTCTGGAACTGGCGAATAGCCAAGTCGACGGGCAGGTCGAATTTGTATTTACTTAACGTATCCAAGCTTTGTAATCCATCTTGGAACCCTGCAAGGAATCAAAAAACACAATTAGAAATATATGAGTTACTGTTGTTCATTATTTGTCACACGCGATTCGTGTGTTGTTTTCTTTTATCACATTCCCACTTTATAATATACCTGTTTTCATGGTATAACTCCAAGGCTGATAGTGCATGTTTATCAGCTGTCTGCATTGGAATATCAAACTTAACCAGGTAACAAGTTTATTGGCACTGAAATTACGAGTTTTGTTATCATTGCTGCAAGTGTACGTGCGACTTACTTTAATGCGGCACAGATAAAGGCTTTGAAATGAGAGTCGTAGCTACGTTTGTAAGGCGAATGCGTGGATATGATGCTTCCTATAGCGCACAGCATATTTTGCTTGTTGGATGTGGCGGAGGCGCCGGCTATATCCAGGTTGAAACTCTGAGAAAGCTTCCTGGCCGGCGTCGCGTTGAAGCGCTCTCCGTTCTTCAATTCATAGTAGTTGAGGATGATCTCCCAAGCATGCACCAGAGTGTGGCTTTGACTGGGTCTGCGCGCGAAGCATCCAATAAAAGGCACCAAACTGTGATTCTGGTCGACCGCCAAGGCCCCGTGCTGGATTAGGTCTCTGATGCTTGTAGCCAGGTACTTCCGCACGGCGGTTGTCACCTGGACGTTGCACAGGACAGTCGGCGATTCGTTGTCACTGCAGTAATCGCCCTGCTGCGAATAGGGGTTCGATTCCGTGGCTTTGATCAGTTCTTTCACCCGTGCTATAGACAGTTCCAAGCGCGCGCGCAAATCCCTGCGATCGGCGGAATGGAAAACAAAGAAAAGAGAAAGAAAGAATGCAGCATGCATCATAATGGTCAACTCATGGAAATGCATTTTTGCAACTTGACACCGTTCTTACCCGTAATGATTGACCTTCATGGTTCTTTTAAGATCGTTCTTTTTAAAGCGCTGGGTGCCGCAGCCGAGCTGCAGCAGGGCGAACATTTGTAGTATCTCGGCGGTTCTCTGCACGATTCCTGCGGTATCGTTCTTAAACTGCTTCTGGACTGTATGCAGCGAGCAGCCACAAGAGCACTTGGCGCCCTTTGCATCTGCTTGCAGATAACTGATGAAACGCTCGAGATCAGCGACTTGCGTCTTCAGCTGTGTTACTAGGTGCTCCTTCATCTTCAGCGGATTTACCAACTGACCGAGCGCCACGTCTACCTGCTGCTTCACGTTTTCTGGCGTTAATTGATGGTACATGTCCTCGTCCAACTCTAAATTCATCCTATCCTTTAGTTCCCTGAGTATCACCCTTTGACGCTCCAATATTATATCTTGCGGTACACCTGCCTGTCCGCTTTCGAATGCATACTGCTCCAATTCGTGCAGTTGATCTTTTAGTTTATCAATCAACTCCTGCTGCTGCGCTCGTCGCAGCAACACTGCCTCCCCCAAGTTGGTCTCATTGAATTTATCTTTCACTGAACTGATGTCTGGTATTCCGCGGAACGCGAACTCCTCCAGCGACTTCAGCAGCTCCTCTTTGTCCTCGATAGGTGCCTCCACGATTTGGTGCAAGCGCAGCTGCACTTGAGCGAAGTGCGTTGTTAAGGCAAACAGAGATGAACTTAGCAGATCCTGCTCCTCTTCCAAGTTCTTATACCTCTCAAAGTGTACACTGAAATGTGAATACATAAGCAATGTTTTGAAGAAATTACATTTAGTTATAAATTTACCAAGAGTGATCACTGCATAAACTGTCAAACCTCTTCGACAAGCTGAACTCTTCATGCTGGTCATTCGGAGCACCCAGGGGATCCCACCTCTCACCAGTTGGCTGATCTTCAGATGAATGCTCAGAGCAAACTAACTCATCCATTTCTAGCAAGAACAGGCACTTCAATTAACTGCAGCTGATGGGCAGCCACAGATTGTCTTTACCAAAAAGTATATAAACTAAAACGACCAAATAAAGGAATCAAAAAATCGTCCAAACAATTAGCTTATCACAGACGCGCGTCGCTCTTGAGCGTACTTCCCACAATATTAAACATTTCCATATTGTGTTGATAAAAACGTATTTTAGATTACTACATTGGCGGTGGAAATGCGCACGCGTTTGTTGCCGCCGTCGCCGCGTTGCCCTCTTCAACTGGAAGAAAACGTCGAAATGGAACGGCGGTTTTCATGTGCAAGCGCATTCCTTCGACCACATTTTCCGACTAATTAGAATCCCCGTGCGTTTCTATTCCGGGCTCCAATTAATGCGCAAATTGCAGTCTACTTTGAATCTCGGCGCCCCTTCACCGCTTTCTCCTAATTAAATACTATTCCTATTCATCCATGATCTTTACCGCCAACAGTTTGAATCTCCGCCGCCCCCGGTTGACGTCACGGTTGGTAGGTATCATGATCCGCCTGTAATTTTAGAAAGATAATGAAAAAACAATATGGCTACTTCTGAAAGGATAAAATATTTTACTCTGAAACATCCACATTTAAATACTTCAGCTTATACAAAATTTAATTCTATTAATTAACAATATGATTTAATCATGATAAAATCATATTTCTCTTAATCAATATTGGTTGCATTTACCTAAAAAGCTATTTATGAGAAATTAACGTGTATTAATAAAACAATATTTTTGTTTAAATAATACTATACTAATGTTTACAGACTTAAATTCTTACTAAGATTATGTATAATAAAAGAGTGTAAATATTTTTTTAGTGCAGTTTAAAAGATAACAAATATACATAGAAAATATATTTAGAATGAATATAATAACTTATTTTAGAAGCACGCAAATCAATAATTGTATATCAAATAATTTATGTTTACTACTAATAACATTTATTATAAAGGGTTGAGTTACAATTATTTCATTTTTTTATTACACATTTCATGTTTATATTTGTTTATAACTAAGAAATTTTACTTTTATTTGTTCATATTCTTATACTGTTCTTTTATCTACTCTGAAAGTGAAAGGAAATATTTAATTTAGTGCGTATCTAATTAATATTTAATATACAATGAAACATTTAAAATTTTGTTTAAAAATAATATTAAACTTTTGATCAATATTTTTATTTAATTTTCAAAATAATTATAGGAAACTGTATTTTTGGGATGAGGAAATACAGTTATGTTAAAAGTCGGTTTATCTGTCAAATAATTGCAAATGGCGTGTTCAGTATAATAGTGGATAGTTAAAAGTTGCCTATATTGATATGTTCAAACTACCGGCAAATCCTTAGTCGTGAATCGACGTCATCCTAGCTGATCCTAGCATGAGATTATTGACTAATCAAATTGGATTTGATGCCGTTTCGTTGGCCGTTAAGTTGGCAACCGTGCCAATTTATGTCTTCATTGTATTGTTTAGAAACAATGTTTATATGAAATATTTAAATTAATTAAAAAATGACTTTCTCCTGACGAAGTGCGAGTTTATATGTCGATATAACCGAAAGTGAAGTACACATAGGCATATGTAACAGTTGCAGCATGAGCCGAAATCTGCGCTTTCCGAAGTTCCATACAATGTGGAACATAAGTTGAAACAGAAGATGCCTTTTCAAAGAACCTATTTTCGTATATATTTTCTATTTTTGATATGGCTGAGCAATCTATTGCACAGAGTAGGCAGTTTGGGAATCCAGTTTTCCGTGAGATCCACAAAAACACTTGGCTCAAGAGGTTGCCTCCTGAATCTAAGAAGGTATGTCTTGTTCGTTACCTTTAATTTCACTTTCTGTTGCACATAATTCTTTGTATTTCAGAAGAAGGAGAGAGTCTGGGTGGTGTTCTGTATACATGATGACACAGATGCATTTCTAGAAATTTACTTGGACAATAAGACAGCTGTGTTGCATAAACCGGAATGGTTTTTCTGCTTGAATAATACTCAGCATGTTTCTCCAACAATCTGTGCTCAGGAACAGGATTATGAATTTGTGATAACTTTAAGTAATGAGGTGGTTAGATTGGCAGCTCCTTCTTGGGAGGCTATGCTTGACTGGGTGGAAAGTCTAAGAGGGAAACTATATGAATTGAAGATTTTGACTCCTAAAGAGAATCTCTACAGCAAGTTACCTGAAACCAGATCAATACCATTGCTGTCCACTCGTGATCCAACGTCACCTTTACCATTGCCACCATCTCTTAATAATACTGTTCCTCGTGATCCAACATCACCTTTACCACCACCACCTGCTGTGCCTCCAGCACTGCTTCCTGGCATAGAACCAATTGCAGAAAGGTCTTTAACACCCAATCTAACTAGGTTGGTATTTTCATATAATTAGACCATATTTTTAAGAACATTTATATTGTTATTAGCAAATGTTCAAATAAATAATAACTACATAAACTGCAATATAACACTATCAAAAAAAAAATCTGCCCGGCTAACGACTGTTCAAAATTGTTTTTGATGAAGTATATATGTTTTGTTATAGACGACATACGGCACTGCAAAGGGGATTATCGTTACCGGAGACTTCAATGCGTTCTGAGAGTGCAAATAACATCACTATAGTTCACGTAGAAGTTTCTCAGCCAAACGTCTTTAATTATGAAAACATATCAAATGTGCTCCAATCTCAGAGTTCTTCTACAGCTGAAGCTTCAAATAGTTATGAAAGGCTGTTCCAACTACAACAATCTCCAGGTTTGTCTGTTATTATCAACTTGTGATTATTATTTTTTTTTAATTTACGAAAAGTTATTGATATTATGTGATATTATGTAAAGGTTTGCGATTTGTATATTAAATTTACAATAAACAGAAATAGAAAATCTATTATAAATAATAAACAAAATAAATATTACAGGTCCATCCAATCGGGCAAGTAGAAGTCAGAGGCCCCCTGCAGCTAATTCTGGCAGATTAGTAGCAGTTCCAGAACCATTGACGTTACGTGAACATCAAGTGAAGCAGCTACAAAAGGAGATGAAGCACCCAGGCGGGGTGCGGTTATTGTTACGCAAAAATTGCATTAGTTCAATTGCTCTTGTTGATGCTAACACATCGGTCTGGTAAGTCAAAAGCCGCAATGTCCATAGTAGTATTTCCGTTGTAATATTTCACCTAACAGGGTCTGCGGGTGGAAGCAAAAGGAGAATCCGATGTTATATAATGCTCTGCACATCGGTGATCAATTGTTGACTATTGAAGGGATCACCGTGAAATCCTCGAATGATGCTCACAAGATCCTACGATCGATTAGCAGTATTTATGTAAATTCAAGGTGGATAAATACGTAAACCGACTGTTTTGACTGACTTTCGATTGTTTTAGGTCCATATTGTAATAAAACGTGTGCCCCATGGACAAGTGTTTGTGATACATAGGGATGTTGAAGGGCAGCCACTGGGTATTATCCAAGAGGGTAATACGGCTGTGATCGCGAATGTGGAGGGTGGAAGTCTTGTCGCAAGGCAAGGACTCTCGACTCATGCCCAAACGTGCGATGGCCAGTCCTTCACAAATTGGGTGCTGACTGAAATCAACGGGCGTCCATTAAATTTATTTTTCAAAGAAAGTCAAGTCAAAGACCGTCTGAATGCAGTCGGACGTGATATCTCGATACTAGTGCAACCATTAGATTTAATAAAGCAGCTCAAGAAGCAGCTGAAGTCTTTGAAAAACTACAAGGACTACATTTTACAGTAATCGTGCAACTATTTATATCCATGTATATACAACCTATCTATACATATATATATACACACTCACACACATATATATGTATATATATATACATATACATATTCCTTGGATGAAACAAAAAGACTAATTTTTATATAAATATTATATAACACTGTGAAGGCCTTTAAGAATGATTGTCATCGTCGTATATTAGTATTATTTTTATTACTATTATAATTTTTTATTCAATTTTTGTTAATTGTGTTTAATAGTATTAACTTTATTATATTTTCTACTATTAAATATATGTATTTCTATTTTTTTTTTGAGAATTACTTTCCTTTTGGTTAATAGTAATAGTTATTTGTAATTGGAATAAGAAGAGAAAAAAAACATGAATAATTATTTATCATATGTTTTTTTTTTATTAAATTAATTAATTAGTAACGGGTAACTTATTATTATCATTATAAAGTAGGAACTAAATTATATGGAAGAAAAAAAAAGTGGAGAAATAAGCTTTTGCAATTTAATTTCCTGTACACTTGTCGCAGATCCCGTTGGGATTGCTAACTTTGCCGGCGAATATGATGCTTCTTGTTGACTTGTCGACAATGAAGAATGCGAATGGTTTATTCGCCGAGATCTTGGGTTGCGTTGTTTTGTATACAATGGATGCTCCTGAAATTGAAAAAGAAAACAAAATAATGTACAATGTTCTTTAACGTTTGTGTTTTAACACAACATTTAAATTATTTTTTTTTTATAAATTTAAGTTAAACTACTTTCAACAATGGCAATACTTTAAGTGATTAAGTAATTCATTTGCAATAAACTTAGTTTTTACGTTTTATTTGTATTAAAACTCTGGGTATTTTCAAATTCCCCTCATGGTTAATGGGATGTTTATTTAACCTTGTGAAATACTAAGCTAATATTTAAGATCACCTAATATAAATATAGACCTGCCAATCAAAACGATTATATAAAATTCTTAACTTCCTTCGTAAACAATTGTTTATCTAAATGGTGAAAACACTTCCGGTGTTTGTGTCAATTACCATGCAAAAACAAAATATATCAAAAACGATAAGTCTTAAATAAATTATATAAAAAGTAAAGAAATAATTTTAAATTAAATAATATATTGAAATCGTGAGAAATTATTCCTAATTTATTATGTATATATAATTATAATAAAGAGAGATATGCACATAGAGTTGATCTTACTCAACTTGTTTTTAGTATAGTATAAAAAGACTGGACTGAAGTAAATTTTTGTGGGTTATGAAAATAATTTTAATTATAAATGAAAACTAATGTGTCCATTCTGGTATTAGCATAGTAAAAACATGTATTTTGCATTAGATAATTTACAGTTAGCCTAAATTATTTTTTGGTTACGAAACGATATCCTGTTATGAATAAATAAAACAGAAAGTATAAATGTGCAGTTGTCATTATTTTACAATTCTATTGTAATTATTTTTTTGGTAAGACATATATGATTAATTCACTATGACCTTTGTGTCACGTTGACATTAAATTGACCTTTGTTTTTGTTATAACATATAATTTAAAGTCTATACTACTTTGATGGATAATTATTACATTTATAACTAATGTATGTATATCTAATATCCAGATAAAATATCACATCAGTTTTTCATTTGTTCGGCTGTCTTTAAATTGACTTTAATTGCTTTTTTATGCTGAAATCATATTGCTCTTATTTCGTCTTAAATCGTCTCTATAGAGAAATACCAAGAACGTAAGCATTCACATAATAATGAAAATATTTAATGGATGGATAAAACACTTTACATTTAACGATGAGTGTCTGTTGCCATTGTTGATTAGATGTAGACCCGAGGGTATTCAGTAGATTTGCAATGAAATAGATAAAACAACCTTCGGGGAAAACGCGAAAATGGCAACGAAAACCCATTTCAGTCAAATTTCTTGACCTTGACCATGGCTCGTGGAATCGAATTACATTGACGTTTCATTTTCTTGAGGTGTACCCTGATTATACATTTGCTAATCACCGTAATTTCCTAAACCAAATAGATTTAAATATATATTTATAGAATAGTTAAGATGCAATTATAGTTTATAAAAATTCACATTATTTAAGTTATTTCTTTGCGTGAAAGAATCCGATTGTATTGCCGACCTTCGCCCAAATACAAATTGTTTTGAGTGTTACACTCGGTATATGCATATTGAACCTTTAGTATTTTTCCACGAAAAGCATTGTTTCATTGCTGCTAAGCATTGTTTACGATTTTCGAATAGTTAACATTATTTTCGGTGACCTAATATTCTTTCGCGATTATCTATACACTGTTTGCAAAAGACCTTGCGATGAAATTCGGGCTGCAACGCCAGGCCTTGACTTGTGGATTACAAAACAGCATTTTTCTATTTTGTTTTTTTCCACTCTTTTTTTTCTGTTGCTTATCCACCGGACACACTATATACATACTAACAGAGCGAAGAGAAATCGACGCGATTAATGAACCAGCCTCAAAACCGCAGGAAATGCATCCTGTCCATTATTGCATCATCGCGAAACAAATTGTTGTAATAAAAAGTTTACCTGCAGCGGCCGCGGCGATGGTGCCTTCCTCGTCGACATCAATGACTGCCTTTTGAAGGACTCGCGATAGGTACAAGTACTGCGGGAATATCCCAAGAAGGTCAGCCTTCTCAGAGTTGAACACTTCGTTGATGCCCATCTGTATAAACAAAACAAATCTGTGTAATTTGCGTCAATCGAATATTATCGTATTTATTCATTACTTTATTGAGGACTCCGTTTAAGTTCAGTTCTGATTCTATCTTAAATTTGGGCAGGTATACATCAACCTCTTCTTCGCTGAATTCCTTTTGCACTCTATCCAAGGTGTTCAAAAGCTCGCTAACTGGTCTACTAGCGATGGCTCGTAGTACTGTAAGCAGTTTAACACCTTTTCTAGGAACGATTACAATCATCGATACTTTATCGCTCTGAAACAGTTGATTTATTACATATCATTAGCGTTATTTTTTTTTGACGTCATACGTTTCCATAAGGTAGTTCTACGGCATGAGCATTCAAGTAGCTGACTAAAGTATAAGGAAATGGTCCGGACTGGTACATCATCTGGACCCGGCCTATGCTGTTACCTGCATCGTTGTAGAAGGTTTCCGGCTTAGTTTGAGCAGAATCGAACCGGTATCGCCACTGACCCTTGAAGAACAATGCGCTGGTCATGAAGATGGCGGCATCGGCAACGTCAGCTGCGAATCGTTAGATTTAGTAACGATTAATTAGTAGTATAAAAACGTATAGTACCGGCATTGACGAAGTTCGGGATCCTGTTCTGCGTCGCCCTGGAAATGTAATTGTTGATCGTGTTCACTGCGCCCCTAGAATTGCGAAAATCCACTGGTATTACATCCACTCCGTAGGTGGATTGCGATACTGCTTGGAAGGTCGTATTCAGTGGGAACTCGTTGGTGGTGAAGATCGCGTTCGTGATGTCCAGAGTGACTCCATCGGCGTTACGCTAAATAGTTTATTAGTTATGAATAATCGAAATGATGTTTAGGCTATACACTACTTACTTTTAAATCGCTTGAGAGGGCTCTGAAATTATTGCGGAAAACGGATTTGTCTGCGGCTGGGATCCCCAGGCTGTTTTCTAGCTCTCTGAGAGTGTTTTTGTTGGCCCCTTCTGAGATGATCGTCAGTAACGTCCATATCGTGAATGGAGACAGCGCAATATTCAAATTGTCTCCAGCAGCTTCGGCTGTTTGCTAGTTGTTAAAATGTCAGTCTTAAATTTAAATCTTGTTTCAATCGTTTTGTACTTACGGTCAGTAGTTTCAGGGCGAATTGGTCCAGTCCCGAGGACACTGTCTCGATGCCATTCTGAGCATTTGCCAAGTAAAGCACAAAGCTAACCAGGAGGAAGGCTGTAAAGTGGTAATAATTCGTCATAAGTTGTGATTAGTAGAGCACGTTGTGTATGAATATGCGTCCGTTAACGCGATATAATGAATAAATAAACATTTCTTAGCCACTTCGATAAGCTGTCCGCATAATTCTCTGTTCGCGGGAATTGCTTGCATTTCACTCGTCGTGACCTTAAAATGAATGTACATAGTAGATATAGCCTTTACTCACATGCCTTCCAATAGTCGACCATTTCTAACGAAAACGATATTTCGGACCTACACGAAATATCGCCCGACCTCAACACACAATGGAATCAATATCTTTTCCCGACGGCGCGACTCTAACTTGTAAAACAAGTTTTAATTTGTTACTTGCACGGATTTATATTTGTTGACCTTAGTCAAGTCCGCCTCCAATCCCGCGTATGTAAATAAATATTATATATATTTATAAATATATAATTTCCAAACACAGTTTCTTGCGTGCGCGTCAACTAACTAACTGATCCTTACTTTTTCTCCCACGCGACTTATATATTTGTAAATATTCCTAAAACGGTTTTCAAACAGAACAAAATAAAAGGTGGTACAACAGGCGAAACGGAGCGATGGAGAGGATACGTGTCACGACTATTTTGTGCGGGGTAGCTCGTGCGGGAAAACCCATGGCACAAATAAAGAAAATAATAATCGACTCAAACAAAACCGTAATTGTTTCGTTAAACTTGTTCCCTCCAATCCACTTCCTCCATACCACCACATGCTTGCATCTCGCTGGTATTTCCATGGCGTTCTACTACGATTCGTGTAGAATGGAGGTGGCGGCGGTGGAGGAGGAGGAGAAGGCTCTGTCTGCGGCTCCTCGTCACAGTGACTTCACTGCGCGTTTCTCGAAACAGTGATCAACGATTGTATTGTATTTTATTTTATTTTTTCCACTATACAGGATCTTACGAATTTTCCCACGCCCCCATACTACGAAATACCAACGTGATCTCGTCTTCAATTCAATCTTATACAAGAACCGCTCTTCAAATCTAACAGGAACCACAATTTTCATAAAGCTGTAACAATTTTGCACGTGTATGACTCATTTTCGTTCGAGTGCGCTTTTATTGCATTTACATTGCGTTTCCAAATTTCTAGACAGAATGTCTGCCTCTCTCATTACTTATAATCGCATACATTTCTACTTCTAAATCGAGTTCATATTTTCTTATCTATATAACCGAATCGTACGAATTGCATTTCCCATCAAGAAAGGTTGTTTAAGGTCATTTAAACACTGAATCACTCTGTATCAGCAAAGTTTTATTAATAGGTTTTCAATACACCCGAGTAAAGTTGTATAACATAAATCGAGAAAACATTACATGGCAATGCTCTATTCTATTATGCATAATTCTAATAGTAAGTAATTACTATGCATTAATTAAACGCAAATTATTAGTGGGAATTTTCATTGTTACATTCATAAAAAACGGCAATTTTTCATCATACATTATATAAAAACGAAATCAATGAATTTCATTAAATTACAAATATGATTTTTGTTCAACAGGTGAAATCATATTTATCGAATAAAAAATGTATTTCCCCAAAAGTACAAATGTTTTGAAAAGTAACCGAAATTAATAATAATTAAATAAGCCATGGAAACAACTGATCTTTTTGATATAACAATTGGAGAAATTTGCAGTAGTAATAATTTGATTTTTTTTTTTAATTTTTGTTTTTGTATTTTATAATTAATTTCATTCATAAGTTTCAATTACACGAGGAGTAATTATATAATAGACGGCAATACTCTATTTTCCTGTGATACATTCTAATAGTAACGAATAGTAAATTAAATAAACGCCGACAATTATTGATTCATTCATAAAAAAAACTTGTAGTTTTGTTGGTAATAAATGAGTAGAAAATTTCATAAATGATTGCATTCACGCACGACATTCAATAAAAAACAAATCTAAATCATTAATAATATCTTTAAATTGTTTCATTGTAAATACAATTGTAGAAGAAATTTATCCATTCTACAATTGTTTTGACAATTAGTGTTGCCATCTGTTATATTCATTAATTTCTGTCTTTAGAATGTTCATAATTCTTAACAAACAATTTTGTTTCAGTTTTACAGAATTATGAATGATATAATTGTAATTATAGATACAAAGTCTAAATAAAATGTCTCAATGGAATAATTGTTACGCTTGACTAATGTTTAATAAAAAATATATATATATAATATATTATAGGAAATTTCACTTCTAGAGAAATTTGAATTTCCCTCAGTACCTTATGACGCAACTGATTATACTTTACGCAATGGAACATAAATTTGTTATACCATGAGTAATCTACATTATTATATCACTAATATAAACCACAAACTTCATAAAGAAATTAAACAGACAAATTAATTTTGGTTATTTTACGTATTATTGAAGAATTTATTGATTAAAAACAAATTAAAATATTTTTTGGACATCTTTTTTTTTTTGAATAGAATAAATCGAATTTCTTAGGAACCGTGGTTTTTCAGCCTTTAGAAAAAATTTAAAATATTTATTGTAGAAGTCTCCCAGCAATGATTCATTATGTGCACATCCTAGTTTATTATATAACCCATTACATATACTGGAATAACCTAATCTGTTTCTTGAGAATTAAATTAATCTGTTACAAATCAAGATGTACGAAATGTAAATATATAAGTTATTACAGTGGAACCTCGCTTAACGAGCAAAATTGTAAGAAAAATGACTCGTTTAACGAGCGACGTTTTGCATAACGAGTGACGATGAGAAGAGAAGACAACATTTTTAAAACTTGTGTAGACATATTATGTGTATTTTTGAATATGTTTCATTATACGAGTAAAAATCCGGGAACGGATTAAACTCATTAAGCGAGGTTCCACTGTACTGCAGAATATCACTGTCAAAACAAAAGAGAAAACAATCACATTCCAAGGTCAGAACATTCATTTTATCTTATTTTCTACTATATTTATTTCATTTTTGTTTATATACGAATTAATTGAAATTAAGTGAAATTTATTGTAATAATAATGAATTTTATTTTCTATATTAATCTTTATTATTATTATTATTTACACTATATTAATGAAATAATGAAAACAAGGTTAATCTAAACAAAAAAAAAGGAAAGCAAAAAATATTTTTATTATTATCATTGTATGCAGGCGGTTGCGGTGCGGTAAAGTTTATCAACCGGCAAGGATAACGCCTCTACAATTGTTTGGAACAGCAAATTGCGTCGCACTCTAACCTCATACATGTTAATGTATTATTATCATATTTGAATTTGATATAAATATCAAGCTTAACCAAAAGTTTTGCAACTTAGTGTATTTTCCAATTTTTATATTTATTATTTATCTTTACTATATATGTATAATAATCCTGAAATTATAGGAAATACTACTTTTAAGTTATTTAATTATTTTTAGTTAAATAAGTCTTTCACAATGACATAACCAAGTAAAATTTCGTGTTGTTGTCCTGTTTATACAATAACAGTTTTATATAATAAGAATGATTTTGTTAATATGTAAGGGTTGGCTGTAACATTAAGGTTAGAACAAAAGAAAGTGATTTGTGTACATATACGTCTATACATACGTTGTGTTCCAAGCCTCATTCATAAGAAATATAACTGATTTGTACAACTATTTACGTATTATACTTGAAAACTTGATTAGTTAATACTAAGTGATCAGAGATGTCTCCGGAAACAAAAATATTGTAATTGTAAGTAATTGAATAATTTAATTATACTATAATTATTTATTACAGCTCAATATTTGTATCTACGACTTGTTTACTACTATTTATTAATAAAACTATCTACAGTTCAGAGATATTCAGAAATGTATCGCCAGAATATAGCTGGATATTTAATGGTTTTGTCAATTTACTCTGTTATTCTACTATACTTATACCTGGGTACTTAGCATATAGATATTTTAAAAAGATTAACTACTTGGATAAAGCAGGTAATTCACTTTCACATTACCACGTTAAATTTAATATTATTTTAATTTAGTCGGAAACAATTGTATTATTACAATTATACGCAAGTGCTTCCAAGAGGACGTAACCATAGAAAGGATTGTCTCACCTCCACAAACTACATCACATAGAAGTGATTGTGATAATGCATTGCGTCTTTTATTTTACTTTGTATTTCTTCAGATATCTTTGATTTCCTGGAGTGTTCTACAAGAACAAATCACTCATGTAAGTAACATTTAAATATGTGAAAAATGAAGAATATTTTCATTGTAGATGTTAAAAATTATTGTCTTATAATATGTTTGTTTTATTTTTAGGAGTATGTGAATGAGAAGAAAGAAGTTGGCGTATTTAAAGACTCGCAATTTTTAGTGTTCGTTAATAGGATTCTTTCTTTTACTATATCTGGAATTGTCATATGTTTGCGATGGCAACCAAAACATAAGTGTCCTATGTATAAATATGTTTTTTGTTCTTTGTCAAATATTTTAAGTTCTTGGTGTCAATATGAAGCACTCAAATACGTGTCCTTTCTTCATCAAGTACAAATACATTAATGTAAAATTATTTAGTAATAATTTCATTCTGTTTTAGGTACTAGCCAAAGCTGCAAAAACAATCCCTGTTATGATTATGGGTCGAATTGTATCTCGGACGAAGTATGAAAGTTACGAATATATAACAGCGTGCGTCTTATCTGTTGGAATGTTGTTCTTCATGTGCGATACAGGAAATGACAAAGGTTGTTTTCAGTTTCTTAGATATAACAAATTGTTAAATTTGATATCATTTTTGTTTTAGATACCTCCACAACAATAACTACATTCTCTGGAGCAATCCTGCTTTGCTCGTACATAGCGTTTGATAGTTTTACCACAAATTGGCAAGGTGCTCTCTATAACCAATATTACATGACGCCGATCCAGATGATGTGCGCGGTGAACTTCTTTTCCTGCTGTTTTACAGCAGTTTCTTTATTCCAGCAAGGAAGTTTCATTCACTCATTTAATTTTATGATCAAATTTCCAATGTTCATAGTTGACTGTGTTATGTTATCTATTTGTTCTGCGGTCGGACAACTTTTCATTTACAGTACTATAGCAGACTTCGGTCCTTTAGTCTTTGCCATCATTTCTACAATCCGACAAGCTTTCTCTGTAATAATGAGTTGCCTATTATTTCATCACGAGATGCATTCGTTGGGTATATTCGGATTATTCCTTGTGTTTTTCAGTCTTTTATTTAGAATCTATTTTTCTCATAAAAGCAAAGTTTTGCGAAAGTTAGATCAAAAGACATTATTACAGTGATTAGTATAAACTATTATATTATTGACTACAGTGTAAATATAATCGCAGAATTTTCCAAATTTTTGGAATAACATCATTTTTTCTGTTGATTATTTCCTTTAAATATCAATATCAGAAACATCGAGTTATATCAAAGAAAATTCTGTTTATAGCGGTTTATTAACAAGAAATTAAGCAAATAACTCATTCATGAGCTGGCAATGGTTTTTAAATATGGGACAACTGACCAGATTTTAACGCAATGAACTCGAAGATTTTGGAGTTGTACAAACTGTACGTTAATCTCATAAGAGACATAATATTAAGGAAAAAATAGGATCTCATGTTTAGGTGTCGAGACACTATTTAATTCGTTGTCTTCCAAAAAGAAAAGAAAATAAAATTCTTAGGTCAAATTAAAATTGGAAATACATATGTATATTGAAGAATAAATACTATGTTGACTAATTATAAATAAACAGGCTTTTTAATTTTTAGTCTCTTATATCGAATTAAATATATACTATTTATTTGTACAATTATGTCAATTATGTTTGGATGTATTTATTAAGCAAAAAAAAGATTGAAAATAATAAACTTTGAATTTATTATATGCTATTTTTATTATAAGAAAGAAAGTATAACATTAAAAGATAATTTAATATAATAATTAAGTACTGTGAATATGAGAAGGTATAAGATCTTTATTAATTTCACTTCTTTTTAATCACATTCTAACACTGCTTCACGTGGGCTGCAGTGGTTACCATAGTAACGCTGTCATCACTATCCACCAAAGAACTCACCGCACGTCTACCTATTAACCTTGCTACAATCGCTCGATTCTGTGTAAGAAGCTGCAATTATATAAACATGAAAGGCAATAACAAACTAGATAATATATTCCAAGACGATATTCCATTAATTGACGAGGATATTGAAGGTAATGTTCAATAATAACCTAAATAACTCTTAAACTTCATTTCTTCTATAGACAATATTATTAACGATGGTGACGAGTCGGAATCTTCTATAGTCTTTAATAATGAGGATGGTGACGATATTATTGTTGATGATTTTGACGAGCCAGAATCTCCTAATTCTGAAACCATGCGAAATCCAAATTCAGAATCACTTCCTACGACTCGCATATTGGTGTTTAATTCGGTTAAACAAGAGATGGTGTCCAACGATTTTCAGAGGGAGGAAAACAATCGACTACTTTGTCAGGTCCAAGAGCTCCAGACTACTTTGAATGAACTTTCTCAAAGACTTGATCAAGTCAAGAAGAAGAATCTTAGATTAAAATCTGAGAACATATTGTTGGGTCAATATATTGGTACATTGATATCTGCATCAAATGTGTACTCTAATGCTTCTTTATAAGTTAATATCAACAGATTTACAATTTAACTATCTTATATAACTTTATGACTATAGTCTAGTCATTAAATATTAATTGTTTTTATAAAATAATAAGTGTAAACTGATTAACAAATATTTACTACGTTCAGATGTGAATGCAAATTTATAGTTCACATATAATTATTATCTGGTTATTAAGCGTGAGAAGCTTACGAAGGTAACGATGAATGTGGTTATTGAAAGTGTACAAATTCCACTGTTTCGAGTTCTAATATAATTGACTAATGAAAAAGATAATTATTAATAATTAAAGATAAAACATGATTAGGAGTGAAAATTAATGATTGTTATATTATAAAATTCAGCGTTGAATTCTTAATTATAAATGTATATGTAACATATATATTTTTTTATAAACAAACTTAATATAAACAAAATTTATTTTAGAATACTTTAATACAAACAAATATTTTCTGCTTTCAACATATTTTGGTTTCTATTTCAATTATTTAAAATGATAATACCTTTAATATAGTAGTGTTAAAGAATTGTTATGCAAACTAGAATGTAGTTTTGTAGACTCAACTTGTAGAATTGGAAAAATTGACGAATAGTGTCTAACTGGAAGATACAATGTAATAAAGTTATGTTTACGTATATTTCAATAAAAAGATCATTGGAATCTGTTAGTTTTGTTAATTTTTACCATAGCCAAATTGATTAGTATGTACAGTAAAGAAATTAGATATATTTTGATTTTATGTTATATTATATTTGGTCCATTGCCTAATTGTCATGTACCGTAGTTTTCCGATCTTGGACTAGTCCAAGGAGTGAAAATCAATATTGCAAGTAAATACAACGCATGCGTTTATAGTAGTATACCAGTTCCATCAGAATACTCCTGACCTACGATCGTATTAAGAAGTGTTTGTTTATTTCGATATATTGTGAGTGATTAAAGGCATACAAATCGAAAACATGACTATTCCACTACTACGTACCAAAATGGACTCAATCGTATCTAATTTCTCATTGTGTAACATGAGAATTGAGGCGAAAGTAACACTAAGGAAGGATGAAGCTGTTCAGAGAACAGTTCTCGAGGATTTATCAAATGATGCAACAAGAGAAGATTGTTCAAGCTCAGTTGTATCCGAGAACAATGTACAATGGCTGGTCGACAGGATGAAAAACGAATTGGAAGTATGGACCATCTTCGCTAGAGAGATGGGTACTATTGTGGCCATGTTTCAGCGATACAAGGATATAATCGCAGATAATCTCAACAGAGCGGAGAACGAAGACATCCAGGTGGATTTACAAGAATGGTTAACTCAGGTGGATGGTCTACTTGCACTTGCTGGAAGATTGCATGATCTTGTTGTTCACGCCCAATGCCGAATAAACAAGGAATTTACTTACAAGCAATTCGTTGCTCATATGATTATGCAAGATAAATTGTTTGATCACTTCACCGAAAAGTATAAGCTGTTGCTCCAATGCTGCTTCTTGTTCATTGATAATGTCAAACATTCTCTGGATGATGTCTACGCAAATAGATAAATTATCTTATACAGCTTTTAAAGATTACATATTTTATGATATTTTTTATATTTTACTCTTTTAAAGTAAGTCATCTATTTTATATTTTTTACCTAGATTCATATCCTTTTGGCCCAGATTAGGGCCAATGAAAATTATTCTATATATTTACTATATTTTATTTATACATTATTGTATATGTTGTATTAAACTCTAAAACGTAGAAGATTTTAGTATAGAAACTAATATAGAAAATGCTTTATATCAATAGTAAATGAATTAGAATTACGGTATATATTTATTTGCGAAAATAGATTAGTAAAAGTATTAACTAAATATACACATAAATTTCAATGATTACTAACATAATTAGAATAGTTGAATATTGTATTGAAATTTCATGCAAATTTTAATTATATATGTAAAGACTAATATGTAATAATTTTTTTTTTTTGAAGAAAAGACTGCGATTAGTAGCTCTTTGTATATGTATTTGATGTATTTATGTGATAAAATAAAGGTTGCTTCAACTTAACGAACAGATTTTATTGAATTTTTACCGCATCTTAAACAAATTTGTTTTCCCTCAAACTTTTCATTTGTTTCAATTTATTTTTATAAATAAATCATTGTTCTTACTATTATTTTCTTGAATCATTTTACTTAATAATTTATTAACATTTTGAAAACAATAAAATGTCTAATTTTAATATAACACGTAATAATAGGTGAAGTAAACAGTTCTGAGCGTTTTTCGTTACATGCTTTAGTGAGCCATAATCTCAGGATGTATAAGTTGCATCTTATCATTCTATACTGCGACTTAAAGGCGACATAATGCTTTAAAGAAAATATTTGACAGTTTTGTGTTTAGTGAATCCAGTTGTGTGTTAGAGCGTTCCAAAATGGAGGTAAAAAAGAGAAAATTCTTCTTTATTTTTTTTCACCAACATGTGTCAGTATAGTTCTCCACTACCATTTTCATTGTTGGCTCTCTCCAGCCTACATTCGTTTTCTTCCTTAGTGGAATATATTCTAAGTACTATTAATGTTCAATTTACACTTCACAAGCGAAAATTAAGACAAAAAAATAGTAAATAATACAATTTAGATAATATTAAATCATATGAAAATATATTAAAATTCTCACTCATTTTTATATTTGTTTAATAAACATAATTTCTTACATACTTTATAAATTTTTCATTGTCCGTTTTAAATAATTTTATAAATTTTTGTCAGACATTTTGCTCTATTTAAAACCATTT